GGAAAACAGAATTAGTGTCCACCATCCAAAAACTGTTTCCTAATCCTCTGTAGAAGAATTCAGCATCTTTATGGACAGTCTCTGGCTCATGCATTTAGCTGTGGAGAAACATGCACTTAAGCCGTAAAACAGCATTATTTGATGGGTCTGTGTAATTCATTTCACAAATAACTTCAGTTAATTCTTTTGTACTCTGCTTTTATTATTTAGCATCGTTTTTGCTCCCTTCCCAATTTAGATCACAGCAGAGGATTGAAGGTGGAATATGCTCCTGACATATAATGTTACAAATTATTGATTGGAGAAAGTGATGTGATGTGTAAGTTCTGAAGTGCTTTGCTAGATTTTTTTAATTGTTATTGAATTACCACAGTATCCTGGATGAACAAAGAACTCTCTGTGTATTAATTACATACAGAGAAGATTTATTTGAAAATTTATGGGATCAGGCTTGGTACAGGGCTGAGCCTTTTGGTATCTATGCTACTTTAATTGTTACAGTATAAAATATGATTACATTAAGAGAATAAGTAAAGTAGTATTTAAATGCCAGTAGACCAAGACCTTTCTCTTTCTAGCCTTTAACTTCTGTTATGACTTAATAATGAACAACAGCTATGATCAGCATGAATAATTTTCAAAAAGTTCATTGCTCTCACTCTCTTCTGTTTACACATATATATATATATTGTTCTTGGGTGACATTTATTGTAGAGCTTCATGGGAATGCATTTTGTTGATGTGGTGCCTCTTTCTTGAGAAAAGACTTTGTGGAAGTTCAAAGTCTAGCAGGCTTTTTCTGAATATTGTTTTGCCGTCTGGGTGTGTAATCCTTCTGTTTTGGATGCTTCTCCTATGTGTTCAGGAATGTTTCTGTTGGACCTGGCTGTAGTGCCCACTTCAGAGCTTCCTGGTTTATTTTTCTCAGCTCTTTTGAAATACGATTTTAATGTATTTTTAGGTAATTTAATGCACTGATCAGTAGGAACAGTGTTTATTGAATGTAATCTGAGAGTTGTTAAAAGTCACAGTGCAGATGTGAAATGTTTGCTTTGACCTTTCTCCCCAAGAAAATGCTTACATGTTTTGTGATCTGTGTAGAATAGTGTGTCTGGTGTGGCATCTGATAAATGTGATGCCCAGGTAGAGGCAGACAGGGACACAGCTTGCTCCTGGCATGCTGAGGACAGGAGAAAAATCTCCACACTGCTACAAGTTCCCTTTGGTTTAGGTCCACAGCACCATCGCATCCTTGGGACTGTGCTTCTTCATTCTGACTGATGCCTCAGAAGAGGCTGCATTTCAGGGAGTTCATCTGTAGCTTTTTCTTTTTTTTAACAACTTGAGCTCTACTGTTTGAACACAGAGAAAATTCAAGGCAAAAGGATCCTTTAGGTGGTAACAACCCCCCAAAAAAAAAAACCTAAGCAAATGCTGTTCTAGATTCATGGGCCATTTGAAGATTTACTGAAGCTGTGAAGCATACCATAGGTTCAGGAAGGTCACGTTGCTCTCTTGGTAAGAGAACTCAAATGTTGAATGTTGTATCAATGTGGAAGTGAGTTCTGTACTGGACTGCACAACCAGCACTTTCAAAATTGAACATAGGAAAGAGAAAGGAAGAGCTCAGATGAGGTTGCTCCTCTGTCACACATCATACCACTTTGGGTTTGTTCCCTCAGTTCCCTCTCTTGTTTTTCTACGCAATTGAAACCTAATTGAAGTTCACTTTTGCCCTACCCTCTGAATATTAACTGAAAGTTCATTGTCAGTTAAAGGGAAAAAAAAAAAGTATTAAAGGAATGGAGGTTCTTCACTTTCCATGACTTTATTGGGCTGCTTTACAGACATGTTATGGGTGCTGGGCTCTTATCCTGGTGCTCTGTGCCTTAATAAGCTCCTGCTTCCCTGATCCTTTTTCCCCACATGAAATCTTGAACAGAGGTGCAGTTTTCGCAACTGTGCTCCAGTTCTAGTAAGACTGCTTCAGGTGCCAGGGTACTTCATTCCACTTTTTCTTCTGCTTATGGATATTGGGAAACTGATGGCAACTATCTGCAGCATTTTTCCACGTGGATGCTTTTCTCAGTACTCTCTGATCTGGAGAAAACCAAATCTGTCAAAACATCCAGGGCTGTTGAGGTGTCAGGGAGGAGTAACTACAGTGTCACTTGAGGTGTCACTGCTGTCCTACAGCACTGCTTCTAAGTGGCACCTTTTCAGAGCTGGACAAAATGCATTTTATGCCAAAAGGATTAGTACACTGTCTGCATCTTGTTCCATATTTGTGTGTGTGGCAGGGAGAGTGTGAGGTCTTGCCACAAGGCCTCTGGACTGATTTCTCAGAATCTTTTTTTGTAGCTCTTCTGAAATGTTTTCATTTAGTCTGTAATAAAGTAAGTGGTTCTAAAGTTCAGGAAACTTGATGTTAATGAATTCCATGTGAATTGTATGTTTTTTGTTTGTGTTTGCTTTAAGAGGGGAAATAACTTCCGTAGTAGGTCATGAAGGCTATTTGTTTTTCCTGCTCTTTCAGAGCAAAAAATAAATAAATAAAATCCTGACTGTTCTTGGAGGCCTTTTCCTCTACCTGTGAATTGCTGGAGGTTTCCTGTCTCTCTGTGGTAATAACCTACTCTTCTCACTAGACAGTATTAAAAACTTCAGCATGATAGTCCTATCTATAAACAACATTTACATGCTGGCAGTACTGTGTGTATTCATCTCCGTGAAGAAAATCATAGAATCATAGAATGGCTTGGGTTCGTAGAGACCTCAAAGATCATCAAGTCCCAAACCTGCTGCCACAGGCAGGACCACCAGCCCCCACATTCAATACTAGACCAGGCTGCCCAAGGCCCCATCCAACTTGGCCTTGAATACCTCTAGGGATGGGGCATCCCCAACATCTCTGGGCAGCCTGTTCCAGCACCTTACTACTCTCATAGTAAAGAACTTCCCCCTGACATCCAACCTAAATCTTCCCTCCTTCATCTTAAAACCATTTCCCCTTGTCCTGCTATTATCCACTCTTTCAACGGGTTGAAAAATAGTCATAACCCACTTTTTTTGAAGTTTAAAAAAACAAACAAACAAACCTGTAACTCTCCAAATCCTTTTCTTTGAAAGATCACTTGATTTTGAGCGACGCGTACAGTGCGGTTGAGGTGTGACAGAGCTCTTTGCATGTCTTAAGGTGCCATAATTGAGAAGAAAGGAAGAAGGATTGATCTTTAAACAAAAAGTTTTGCATCCTATAAGTGAGGAGATGGAATGGTTTGCTGCTGTCTCATGAAATGGGTGGTTTTTGGGTGATGATAGCTTCCAGATTGTCTGCAGTCAAAATTAAGTAGGAGTTCTGTTCCTCAGAAGAAACTCAGAGAAACTAAACTAGGCTAGAAACATGGAGAGAAAAGTGAGGTTCTTTGGTCTGGCCAAGCTGAGTCATATAGCAGGAAGACTTGGAGGCTGTGTGTGCTGTCTTTGTGTTGCATGCTGTAAAACAGCTTCCAGAATAGATGGGCTGAATTGTGAATATGCATTAGACATAAGCAAACTTTTCCCACCCATTTCCTATGTGCACTAGTAATGAAGCTGTGACACTGATGCATCTTAGGCTCAATGTTACAACTGCAAAGTACAATAGCACCTTTTTTTCTAAGTATCTAAGCTTGCCTTTCTGTGTGGATCTACCTGAGCTGGCACAATCTGTATTTTTAAGATGTGTTCTGGAGTAGCTGGAGTTAAGATGTATTATCCTGAATCTGATGTGATGCAGCCTGTTTTATACAGGACAGGTGTTGTGGCACATAGGAGCCAGGAGCTGGAAGGTTCATGTGAAAGGTGATGACAGCAGAGAATGGCCAGCTGAGCTGATTTCCAGCAAGGGCATTTTGTAGTTGTTTGTGGCCCTGATTTATTACCAGTTGTCTCGTCTCTCTAGATGATTGGTTATGGAATGAATAATATTTAAAAATAGATGTCCTGTCGAGTTCCAAGTACGAGAGAGATGATTTCTGAACATGATATGCAGTTAAAAATAATTACCGAAAACAAACCAAGTATCTCCAAACTTTGCTTTTTGAAAATCATAACTTCCGTTCTTCCCAGCAGTTGCTCTTTTTTTGTGTGCTCTGCTCCCCTTGTATGTACCTTCCTTAGCTTCATATTTTTCTTTTTGGCTAGAGGAGGGCTACTGTGAATGAGGCCATGACTAGTGCATGGTGTATGTGAGGAAGATTAACAGAACTGGAGAAGCATTTTTCCATACTATACTCAATCTTATGTGAGTGAAAGATGGACACGATAGCACTGGGTTCTGCTGCTCTGGGACGTGGCCTTGTGACTGTGCCCCTGCAGCTATGTCAGAGCTGTGACTGGGGACATCTTTGCTCCTGTGTTCTAGGTACCATCTCATCTGCAGTGTGGATAGAAAACAGCTCAGTGAGCCAATCTGAAAATCTAGTGAATGAGATGCAGGAAGTCATGATACAGCTTTCACGCTTCACTCCGCTGCCTCTCTCTCTCTTCAGCTCCCTTATCCAGAAGGCATCTGCAGGGAGAAGAAAAAGGATTTAGCTGCTATCTTCGTGGGAGATAACTCCGATGAAGACTTGAGTTACTTGCTGAGATGCTGCTGTAAATGTTCATACAGAGAAAGCTTGGTGCAGAATGAGCTGAGGACAGTTATCATGTAGGCCTAGACTAAAAAACCTTTTGGGTATCTAATGAGAAATTATGGACCTGGTGCTTCAAGAGCCATGAGTAGGGAGGAGTCCTTAGCTATCTATGAAGAACCTGACTGTTTTAAAGTGTCGTCCTTATAACTTTGATTGAAAAGCTATTGTTTGCTCCTGAAGTTTGCTACCAGTTTATTACAGTATTGTTACAGGAATGCTGAGGGAGTTCTGTCTTGCCTGAAGCCTGTGCGGTGTCCCTGTTCCTGTCGTCTTAAGGCCCCAGCTGTCAGAGATGATAGCAAACATGCAGGTGTTATTTTTTTCCAAAGTAGTCACAGGTGGGTGGGGGGAGTTTGGGGTGGTGCCCATCTTTCCTGTAATTGCCTCTTAATTAGAGCTCTTGTGTTGACTTGTCACTCTTGAAATGCCAGTCCAAATTTACAAATGGCTCCCAACTACTGACCGTTGCCCCAAGCATCAGGCGGGAGTGTAGGGTGAGCTGTAGTCTGTTCTTGTGTTGCGCTGTGAAAATGGGCCAGAAGAGGCTAGAGAACATTCAGGGTGTTTCTTACTAAGTCAAGCACAAAATCCAAACATGTTCTGGGGAGAGGTTTTTGTATATATATTTGCAGTAGAGAGCTGTACTGCTTGATGACTGTGTCCAAGATTTAAAGCCAAAGAGGATTTAAGAAGCTTGCCCGTGTGCTGAAGCTTACATTGAGACCTCTGTACTAAAATTCGATGCTGAAAGCTGCTCATCTGACCTGAAGAGTGGACTTGTAGCAACCTATGATATTTTTTCCCAGGAGAAAGGCATTGCAAGGTCATAAATCAAGAAGTAGAGAGAAGGAACGTTGGTCTCCCCTCCCCCCACAAAAATAAAACACCCAAACAAATCCTTGTGTTGCTGGCATTAGCAACCATCTGGCCACTGCAGTGGTTCGTGGCTGCAAAAGAACTCAGCATTACCGTGATATCAGCCCTTGTATTGTGGAATGACTAGCCTACACACAGGAACAGTTCTGATAACATTTTTGAACAGAAACCCAATGTAGGAGGAAAAAAAAAGATGGATGTTGTAGTCGCCCCAGATGAGATAAAAATTCTGAAGCTTATACTGGTGTCACAGTGCAAATAACTGGAAAGTCTAGAAAGAAGAGGACCTTGGGTTTGTACACAGAGGGACATTATTTCACTACATATCTATAGATCCGTTTGACAAAAAATAGTCCATGACTGACCTGAAGAAACATAGGGAATACGTTTTAGAGAACTGTGGGGTTTGGATGATGGTGGCCAGTGAGCGTTGAGCTCTGGTGCTGCATGGTGCGGAGCTTGTTAGGTTGAGGATGGGAGTTGTAGCACTGATCTGGCAGGTGCGCTCCTACTTGGATCTGTATGATGTGGTCAGTCACTTGAACTACATGACATGCTACAGTTAGTGCAGTTGAGGTCTGATTTTTGGTGACTTGCTTGGTGAGGCTGCTGTTTGGGGCTTCTGAATTCCCCCAGGAATCGCATGTTAGGGTGCGTTGCATGTCAGTGCAGCTAAGAAGGTCCCAGCCTCACAGAGGAATGTGTGAGTGGAACGTCTGCTCCAGGGCACGCTTCCATTGCAGCAACTTCTGGTTTTTGCTTCTACTTCAGTGCTTCTCTTGAAACTGTTTTTTTTTTTTTCCTTGTTCGTTTGATGCTATACCCGAAGCGAGGGGTTATTGGGTTAGACTGGGGCCAACTCTAGCATATAATCCTTATTTCTAAGGCAGAATGCATTTTCTTCAGGAGAAAATGTGATCGAAGAGTTGCATATAATACCTAGTGGATCCTGATGTTTCTACCTTTATAAAAATATAGTTCAGTGGGCTTTTTTTTTTTATGTGGTTTTTTTTTTTTCCAGGATGAAGTGTCACATGGGATGTGGTGGTTGGTTTATCTATGGGCTGGATATAATGCCTTTGGAACTGCGGAAGCTAGAATGAGAGTAATGGAAGGTCCTAGAAACCTTGATCTATTTTACACATCAGATTTGCATTTGTCCTTCACCTCCTTCCGATATGAACTTCAAGAAATTCTGTGCCTTCTTAAATTCATCCTTAAAGGATTCAAGTTTTGGTGATTAAATTTAATTTCACAATGAAGCCTGTGCTTGACTGTGAAGGCTTTTCTGAGCTAATACAAATGTGTTGAACAGTCCCTTGGAGGAGATAGGAGCCATTGCAAATCGTACCACTGGAGCTGGCTAGGAAGAAGCATGAGTAATTCACACTGCATGATCTATTTTTGTAGAAGTTTTGGTTTTAGCATGATTTGGGAATTAAAAATGAAATCATAGAATTTACTGCCAGCTTTTACCTGGGAAGTCCTGGTGCATCCTTTTCCCTGTAGCGCTGCCCCTACTGCTGTCAGGGAAGGGGCATAATCACGTGGTGGTGATGAAGTGTATGTAGTACCCAGGTAGAATGACTAACTGCTGAGAAATGCTTTACTGATATATTTGTTTTCCACTCTGCGTCTTGCCACCTTTTGTTACACAACCTTATTTTGGCCTTGTCTCTGGTTTTAATTTGTAGTTATGTGCCCACATAATAAAAATTCTTGAAATTGGAAGTCTATTTAGTCTCCCTGGGGAAAGAAAAAAAGGTATGAAAGATATGAATTTCTGCGATGGAATACATGGCTGAAAGATGCTGACATACTGTAGCAGTCGTCTGAATTAACTTACATGGCCTGGAATGGGACAACCTGCTGGTGAAAGTGTTCTGCATAATTTGTGTGGGAAGGAGGAGGGAAATTGTGCAATGTTATGTCGTTGTTTTGTGTAACTTATCTTTTTTCTTGCTTGGGGTTCTTATGTCTACTGAACTGCTGATTTTTTTCTACCTTTGTGTAAAAATGCACACAATTGTTTTTTATCCTTTTTGGGGTTGGAAGACAGAGGGCAGAAAAAGAAGTTTTGTTCTTTACAAGATATTATTTCTGCCTGGTATTCCCACTTGCATTGAGGCTCCTTTCATGTTGTTCCAGCACTCTGAAAGGATCTTAACTTGCTATCCTATTTGGAGCCTCTTGTGCTGCCAGAAAAATGTGAAGAGGCTGCAGGCATCTGGGGCTCAGCTCTCATCTACAGCACAATGAAGAGAAGCAAAGAACGAAGTCTTGGCTGCCCAGAATTTAGCAGAGCCAAAAGGTTATCAGCTGACAGAGTAGGTGAATTGTGATTATCCAAACTTACATTACGGAAAGTCTTTAAAAAGCAATTGAATGAATTATATTTGATCTTGGTGAGAATCTATGGCTGTTGTGATGGATTTTAATCTGCATCTGTTCTCTGAGATGCAATGTTGCAAGTGAAGAAATAATGTGTGTGAATTGTGTGGGACTCTCCTCTGCTTTGTATCTCTGTATTACTGCATACTTAGAGAACATATCCTCTTTTTTTCTTTTAAAATTCCTTTTCCATCATCTTTTCGTCATCGTCCATCATCGTCATGGGATGAATAAATTGAACTCTGCTGCAGTTTGGAATCTGCAAGGTATCATGAAAGATTTTTTCAAAGTCTGTCAAATTGTGAAATCTGATTTCAGTGAAAATATACCATTTTCTCCTGCTACTTAAGGTTGGATATAGCTTAAAAGTGTTATAAAACCTACTTGTCTGACTGTTTTCCTACACAATTATTCAATCAGTGCACAAAGCAAGAACAAAGAATTTTTGGTTAAATTACTATTTCAAATAATGCAGCCTTAAGCAAGGGGAACAAGAAATGTTTTTACTGCATAAAAAAATCTATACAAAAACCTTCAGACTCTTTCTCTAACCCTCCTTTGCAGAATTTAGAGAGACAAGAATAGGGCTGAGAAGCCTGGGTGGGTCAGCCAGATCACATCTTTGAAAGTCATCCAGCTCATAACAAATAATCATCTACTGTTTATTTAAATAAATATGTAACCTTCTGCTATGAAATCCCAGTGTGTGTTTAAAAAAAAAAAAAGTGTCATTTTTTTCTAAGTAAGAGGAAGCAACTTTAATTGCATCTCTATAATAAAAGGTTGTGCATTAAATCAAGGTGTGTGGTTTTTCTCTGCTGAAAATTAAACAAAAGCTGATTCGATGATTGTAATTTCCTTTTCATAATAAGCAGAACTAGTTAAGCAAGTCCTTTCAGCTTTAAGTAGCTTCTTAAAGTCCTCTTTCAAATTTCCTTCTGTAAAATAAACAACTAAATTCAATATGAATAACCACATATTTAATTTTGGAGAAGATAATTTACTTTAAATTCTTGAGTAAGAAAGAATATATATATATATATATATATATATATATATGCACGAGTGACTAATTTTTAAAATGGCAGCTTTGAGGAAGGTATATATGTAAAATGTACAGCTAGGTGAAATAATAGTAAAAAATACCTTCTTGGCCCTGAGTTCTTTTGCTTTTTTTTTTTCTTCCTAAAATGACATTTGGCTCTTCACCATGGATGAAAAATGTGGAAAAAAAAATAAAATAAAAAAAAATGACATCTGATCTTACATTTTTCCTTTATGCTTAAGCCAGAGTCCCAGACTTTGTGTTAGTATAAAACAAGCCTGTCTGTTCCCAAACTTATTTTAGCTTTGCTCTGCTGCCTGTGTAGTTCTTGACCTGGTGATCAGCTGTGGAGGATGCAGATGGCTATCTTTAGCCTCTTTGAGCTTCCACGTTTAGCTGTGATGTGATCCTCTAAGCTCTCACGACAGTCTTTTGGTAGTTTTGTTAGTACTTAAGGGATGCTTGGTAGACAGAGTGGTCGACTTTTCTTCTATCCCGCTGCAAATATGTGGAATTTCATTCTGACAGGAATTGTTCAGGTCTGCTTTTGATTCATTGTTGGGTAGAAGTCTGGGAGCAGTAGCTTACCCTGTTCCAAACAGAGTTTTTATATATGCTCTATCTGCAAGGAAAATTGGATGTTCCTGCTTTACTCAAGATAGCTATATAACTTGGCTTGAGAGTACCTTGGGCTGGCCAATGTGCTTTTTATTGGTTGTTTCCCCACCCCGTTTCAGTGGAACTTTGCTGAATTCTCAGAAAAATTCTTACAACCTGACTGTGCGTTTCCTTCCCAGGGAGGAGCAGTACTGCAGTGAGCAAAGTGTGGATGTGGCCCTGTAGCTGTGTAACCACATGCACTGCCTTAGAGAGGTTACTCATGAATATATTTGAATATTTATATGGTGGATTACACCATGGTGTCACAGAGCTTTGGCAGGAGATTTTTGCAGTATCTTGCAAGCTGCTCTATGCAGAGTTTGCGGTTTCCTTGCAAAAGCTTATATTCAAAAATAAAAAAAAAAAGGCACATAGAAAATTAGCTGAATAAGGATGTCTAAAGTTGAATCTGGCAATGTTTGATTTTGTAAATGCATCTTGTGTTATGGATTGTCATGTGTTCTGTCAGATCTGCAGTTTCTAAATTGCTTACGCAGGGGAAAAGTTTCGTACCTTCTCCAGTGGATATCTACGTTTCACTGAAATTTGAAGTCATATTGTAGACTCTCTTTAAGATAAAAAAGCATTCATTAAAAGTTTCTATAAATTGCCACTTGGTTGCAACAGTGATATATCTCCTGTGGTTTGTTCTGTGTTGCCTGTGATATTAATGTGCTGGAGAAGGAAAGATTCTCTCTTTCCAATTCAAGTGAAATTCTTCATTTTGTGAAGACATTTGAGGAGTGCTTGCTTCCTTTTCTTAATTTTTTCAAGCTGACTTTCTTCTTCAAATGGCCTTGTTCTCCTGTGGCATCCTGCCCAGACTGAGGGGAGCCTGCGGAACGGGTGAGGGGAAGCTCACATCTAAGAATGAAGCTTGGCAAATCTAGAAAAGCAATGGAGATACAACAGTCAGGAGAAAAAGTGAACATGGACTCCTTGGCGTGCAGTTGAAGGAGAAGTTATCCATGCAGGTCTTCTCAGGTGGGAAGGCTGGGCTAAGGTCAGCCAACTATTGGCACTTAAAATTCAGGACAGAAGGAAGGATGTTGTACCCACTGCCAGTCTTTTCTTCATTAACCAGACCTATGCAAATGAAACCTGGTCTGTTTAAAATTTAACCCCAAGTGAGGACTTCTCTGTGAGCCTTCTGGTTTGGAAGGATCAGTGTTGATGCATAAAAATGGGGAGTAAGTGAACGTGCTTGAAAAGCTTCTGAAAACTCTTCCAGCTTAAGAGAACAGAAAACTGGAAAAAAGAAAAGCATTTTCTACATCTGTTATGTCAAGTTTACATGCAGTTGTGTCCAGCAGGTACTGGATCGGCAATGCAGCTGCTTGATATGCACTGTGTGCTTGTCTGTTTAAAATACTTATTAATGAGTTTGGATCCACTTACTCATTTTAGGAACCCTCTCATTTTCCAAATGGTTAAACCTGATCTAGACACTGAATTTTAATATGGATAGATTTGTGTGTCCTTCTTTCATCCTTTCATCCTGTCTCTTTATTCCCTTTGTAATTTATCAACAGAAATAACTCTGAGGAGATGGCACTGAAGCAGCTGGGACTGTCTGTGTGTAGTTTTCCTGAATTTGGTTCCTTATTGGTGGAACTTCTTAGACCGCTAAATTGCTTTTAAAACCTTTTAATTTAAGTTGGATGTGATCTGTCAGTATAGTTGCTGCTGGCAATTGTTTGCTTCTTAGTAATCTGACTGTAGGTCTTTGGTTCCTTAAAGTGAACGAACCAGAATGATCCCACTTTATAGATAAAACTTTTCTTGACTGTCTTCTTCAACCTGTGCAGCTCTTAGTGTCAGAACCTTCTTATCAAGATGATCTTTTTATGCTGGAAAGGAAGACTGTACTTCAGAATACATATGCAGCTGAAATTTGAAGTGCTGAAGACCTCTTTATGTTATCATTGTTGTTTTGGAGCACTATCACAACACTTACTGATTTTCAAGGTACTGGTTTCCTTGCAAACGAGGCCTGCTTATTCTGCTGAATAGTGGTGTTGTTTTCTTCCCTCTAGCAATCAAAAAGAAAAGCCATAAAATGAATCTCCTCTGTGCCTCTTTTCTGTGCTTTCAGTAGTCATAGAGCTTGACAGATGCGTATGATGTTTAGGTTATTTGTAACTTAGATCTGCATCTTTGTCCAGGGAAACATCAATGACGTCCAGGAAGATCAGCCTTTACCTTTTACACTGCAGCCTAGTTTTAGTTAAGAAAACAAACAAATCATAAAAGAAAGCAAACAAAAAAGCTTGCCACGACTTCCTGCTCCTTTCTCTTTTATCACTGAAACGTGGACTAGACCTTCCATGGTGGAAAGAAGACAGGTTTTAAAGACTGTAAGAATGTAATCTTATAGTTACTTTTATTTTCATATAAGCAGTAATTGGATGTAGAAATGTTTCCAGGATAGGGATTTTGAGAGAAGGGCAAGAAGATTGCTGCTGCCTAGCAGAACTGGCCCAAATCACAGTGTATTATATGTGTCAGTCCAGGATAGGCAAGATAATTGGCTTTGTCGTAGAGATAGGAGAATGGAGATGGGAGAGCTTCAGGGTAGAAAAGATCGTTTCTGAAAAAAAACCCAAAACAAAACAGCGTGGGTTTTAGCCCTGAAAGGAGTGACATGTTTAGAAAGCTCTTGTTCCTCCCCTTTCCCTGCACCAAAACTAATGGTAAAATAACAAAAAATATATTTGCAAATCTTTGGTCTGGAGGTTTCTTTGTAATGTATTTAAAAAAACCCAATCCAATCACAGAGCCAGATACTGTTTTCAAGTAAGGGAGCCTGAAGCAGTGGCATTTTTAGATCATCACTGCAGCGTGTTTAAAGGTGAGGGAGCTGTATGTATGGGCTTTGTGTGCACATGTATGTACATACGCATATACATTTGTGTCCCTTCTAAGAATTCTGTTTGGAAGCAGTGAAATTCCTGAGAAATTGCATTCCTTTCAAGTTGAGAGTAATCATACAGCAGTGCATGGATCTGAGATTTTGGTCAAAAGCCTGTAACTGGGTGTTTCCAGTTCTCTGGGCAGATCTGTTGTTGATGCTTTGTCTGTCACTCACTGGATATGAGTTCTTGTGACCTGTCCAAGGGGATGGATTTACCTCCTTGCTTCGTTCAGACTGTGTAGCAGGCTTCTGGGCTGTGGGGATGGAGGGAGTGGGACTGATGGAATCTGTGAATGGTAGCAGTTAATATAAACTTGGTGACTGAAATGTAAAATTAAAAAGTAGTGTACGCAGTGTACGCAACTAAATGAGCAAGGATGAGGGGTGGTTTCATGGACTGTGGCTGGAAAATCCTAGCTTTACTTTTAGCAAGAGGTCTCTTGCTGCTGGGACGATGTGCCATGCTGTGGGTGGCTGTGCCAGGCTTGTGCCTCTAAGGTTGTATTTGTAGAAATTGAAAGCTGGTTCATTGTTTAAGCATCATGGATTTAACTTCCTATTGCTTCTTGTTTGTACAATGTTGTAAGTTACCACCTCTCTTGTGCACCCGGCTTTTTGAACAAGGGAATTGTTTTATGATTTTTTTTTTCTTCCATTTCCTGCATGCATTTTTCATAAATCCTAAACAAAAGTCTCACGATAACTTGCTAATCCAAACAAGAGGCATACAGTTGCTATAGTCTGCCTGGCTTATGCTTTTGCAATAGATTATATATAAAAACATGGGATTTATATGTGTGCTGATGCTCCCATCCCCTCCTCCCTTGTCTATCACTTGCTGCCTTTTGCCTGCTCAGTGCCAGAAGGGAAGGACAACTGACTGCAGAGCTGAGCTCAGTAAAGCAGTGCTTTATTGGCAGGCACTGGGAGTCTAGTGACAGTGCACTGGAAGATCTTTTGGTGAAGCTGGTCTCTGCAGTGCAGGCTTTGTTGCCTGTGCTACGTAAAAAGGTTTTGGGTTATGACAAAACCATTTTGGAGAGCATCTCAAGCTGACTGCTTGGAATACTTCTGTTGCATTTGTGTGAAGTTCTTGTGGATGAGATCGTTACTTTCTACTTAGGATGTTCACAAAGCTTTTCTAACATTTTTCCAATATGTAGGTCTTTTTTGGCT